CAGTGTTATTTTCAATAAGAGAAAAAGCTAAATTTAAAAAGGAAAGTAAATTTATATAAAGAGTAATATTTTAGCTAAATATAAGAATACCTAAAAATATATTTTATTGGTTTTGTATATACTTTTTATTTTCTTCATCTTTATTCTATTGTGCTTTCAGATTTTTCTTCTATAATCAATTGTTAATTTAGACTTGGAAGCCAAATAAAATAATTTTACTGAAGGTTAATTTCAAATTTAAAACTACTTAATCTGGATGACTTTATTTATATTAAAAGTCAAATAATGTGCTTAAAAATAGAATAACATGTATTAATATAGATATATGTAGAAGAAATATAGCAGAATGCATTATTATATTTCATGTGCAATGATGTACTTCTCCATACCATTCATTTTTCAGTAGCATGACAGCAGTTAAAATTTTGATTAATCAGTAGTAATCTTTCCATAAAATATGAACAGATGTGAACAAATGATCAGAACTATTAGTGAATCACTGAGGCTTTGTCAAAGAAGAAGCCTGTTCAAGAAATATTTTCTGTGATTTCATCATAAATTGCATTTTAAATTGCAGCAGTCTAATAAGTTCAGAGAACTCCAATGCTTTTTTCATTGTTAGTATTTTACATTTACTAAAATATTATTTTTTTCTGTTCCTAATCTTTTGTTCCTGAAGTTTCAAGTGACCTTTTGGTACCATATGTTTTCATTCTGTACACTTTTTTTGAATGCATTGTTTTAAGTCTGTAGATTTTTCTTAGCCATTCTTTTTTTAAAATGCATTATGCCTACAATAAATTTCTCATTCTATTGTGAACATCACTACTTTGCATTAATTCCTGACACAGGATTGTTGATATAGGTTTCTGAATTGTTAATTATTTTATCACAGAAATTAAAAAATGTGCTTTTTTTAATCCTTCATAACCATTATTAACAATTTAACAAACATTTAAATTTTGTTCCATTATGTAGTGTATAACTGTTTTCTTACTTCGAAGTATTTATAACATAGTGGTGCATAAAGCTATATATTGCCATCATATATATAATATGTGCAGTAATAGATACATATCATATATGTATTCATACATATATATGTTGTATAAAAATACACATAAATATGTTTTGTTAGTGTATATATATATTCATATGCACACAGATATATACACGCATATACTATATGTACACATGAAGGGACTCAAAAAGTTCCTGAAAAATGAAATTGAAAGCTAAGCTTATATAGGTGCAAAATTCATTTGAAACCAATGCATGGCATTTTCATGAACTTTTTGAAAAGTCTTCATACATCTATACACACATCTGTCTAAAGCCATCATCTATGATCAATCAACTTATCTGTGCATTTGGGTCTACCCTTGGTGAAAATCATAATAGAAAAGGGAGGAAAACTGGAGCAAACCCTTCCCCCATCAATCTTCAGTTTTGGGCTTTGAAGCACAATTTGTCCCTTTGGAAGCAATTTCAGCATCCTAAGCTGCTTGTTTTTTTCTGTTTCATCCAGTGTTCACAGATTATTTCACCAAAAGAAGGATGAATTGTAATACAATATAATTGAAAATCTTGCTTTTTATTATTGTTCCACATCAAAAATAGTCTATTTTCAACACCCATTCACTTGCTTTAACACGATCTACATCATTTGTCCTCTCATACTTTGACTTCTATTAGTTCTCTCTTAAAGATGATTAGTGACATATTTTTTGAAGAATTTAGACATGCTTAAAAATTTTCTAAAATCTCAGCCACATCAACCCTCATTTCCCACTTGTCCCCACATCTTTCTCCTTGTGATTCTTAACATTTCCTGCCCTGGCCCCTCTAGCAAATTGCAACCCATCACTCATGACTAGATCTATGGCTCTAAAGTGAGAAAAATAGATGGAATTTTCTGTGTCATCTCTTGGAATGTATGATTAAAAGCCTGTCACATACTGAAGAAGGAAACAATGAATCATTATGTTATCTCTATTCCATGTTAAATAGCCATTTTAACCTTAGTGCTCCTCTTTATTCTACAGCTTTAGACATTTTAACACTTTGCTCAATACACAATATTTAGTCAGTGCTTTCCATAGGAGTGGCAATGACCACTGATTACAGTATATTACCTCCACTAAACAATGGTTTTCTTCTTTTGTCCTGAAATATATTTTTATTTGAAGATTTTTGGTGTTTTTCTATTTGGAGATTTTTAGAAACGTTATTTGGAAAGAGATTTATTTTTCCCTCTTCATAATGCTATTTTGGTCTTTTAAAATTTTTTATTTTTAATGATGCATAAAATTGCACATATTGTACATCAACCGTCAGGACAAGAGCTGATCAAGTCACTGTTTCTCATAGTGTCCATTTCACTTCAACAAGTTTCCCCTTTGGTGCTCAGTTAGTTGATGTACAATGTAATACTTTATCCATTTTAACATTTTTTTGTTCTAGTACCATTGGTTGAACTCTGTAATTAACACACAATTATTCTTAGGTGTTTAAATTTTAACTGGAAAGTGATCCCTGTTAGGAATTTGGAAAACATTATGCTGAGTGAAATAAGCCAATTCCAAAGGGACAAATACCACATCTTTTCCCTGATAGGTGACAACTAACTGAGCACCAAAAAGGAAACCTGTTAAAGTGAAATGAACACTATCAGAAACGGTGACATGATCAGCCCTTGCCCTGACTGTTGATGAACAACTTAATATGTTATCCCTCTTAGTATTTTTGTTTGTTCTACTTAATACTTTTGGTTGAATACTGTAATCAATACATAATTATTCTTAAGTGTTGAAACTTAACTGAAAAGTGATCACTGTTAAATATAAGAGTGGGAATAAGAGAGGGAAGAGATGTGCAATTTGGGACATGCTCAAGCTGACTTACCTCAAACAGTAGAGTTAGAAACATACCAGGGGATTCGAATTCAATCCCATTGAGGTGGCATGTACCAATGCCATCTCACTAGTCCCAGTGATCAATTTCTGTTCACAATTGATCATAATGATAGGACTAAGAACCAAAGGGATCACATAAACAAGAATAGTGTCTGCAAATACTAGCTGATAGAATAAAAAAGGGAGAGAATGATCCAACATGGGAAGCGAGATACACAGCAGACCCATAGAATGGCAGATGTCCTAAGTAGCACTCTGGCCTCAGAATTAGCGCTTAAGGGATGCAGATCTGGCTGAAAAGCCCATAAGAGTATTGCAGGCATGGAAAGCCAAGACACTCTGGGGGAAAAAAAAAAAACCTAAATGAAAGATCTCCACGACTGAGATCCCAGTAGAAAGAACGGGTCATCAAAGAAGGAGGTACCTTTCTCTGAAGGGAGGAGAGAACTTCCACTTTGACTATGACCTTGTCTAAATATGATCAGAGTCGTGAACTCAAAAGGCTTCTGTAGCCTTGGCAACTCATGACTGGAGCCTAGGGAGATTACAGATGACATAAACAAGAGTGTCAAATTGTTAAGTCAACACCAGGAGTCACTGTGCACTTACTCCTCATGTAGGATCTTTGTCCTTAGTGTGCTGTACATTGAGATTTACTGCTATAACTAGTACTCCAACAGTATTTTTCACTTTATGTTTCTGTGTGGGAGCAAACTGTTGAAATCCATACTTAATGTATACTAAACGGATCTTCTGTATATAAAGAGAATTGAAAATGAATCTTGATGTGAATGGAAGGGGAGAGGGAGTGGGAAAGGGGAGGGTTGCGGGTGGGTGGGACGTTATGGGGGGGAAGCCATTGTAATCCATAAGCTGTACTTTGGAAATGCATATTCATTAAATAAAAGTTAAAAATAATTGCAGATATTTATAATATAACAGATGATGTTTTGAATGCAAATGTTTAATGCCCATTAAGGGTAAAATATTTATCTCCTTAAACATTAAACATTTATTTCTTTATGGTGAAGACATTCAAAGTAAGTTCTTCCAGCTCCTTTGAAATTTAAGTTGTATTACCTCAAACTACTGTAAAATAAGACATGAGAACTTGTTTTCCTATCCATAACATAGGACCAGTTAATCATCTACTTCTCGTCTCTCTCTGCCCTCTGTCAATTTCTGTAAGATCAACTTTTTTGTAAAAAAAAAAAAAAACAAACACAAGGATGGATTTTGATATATGAGTGAGGTCAACCAGAATTTACCTCTCTTTTCTTGGATTATTTGGCTTAACAGAATGGTCTACTTGTTGAACTTCTTGCTTATAATTTGTAAATTCATATTCCTAAAGCCTCTTTCCTCCAAATTATTATTTTGATTTTAAAGTGAATTTTGCATTTAATGTTATCATTTCTCAATTTTCCTAAACATATATGAACTTGTTTTCCAATAGAATGTTTTCTGCTTTATTGATCACTATGAGTTTAATCCTTTTTGTATCTTCCAATCTTTTTTGACAATTATGTCATTTACAAATGTAATAAGTGTCAGAAACATTTATACTGTGAAGCTTAAGACACTTATTTCTGAGGATCTATCAGTCTACTAATCATAAACTTATTGGTAGGGTCTTGTTAATTTAAGGATGAATCTTCCTCCCATACATATTGTAGTCTGTGGTAGAAATGAAAAAGAAAGATATAAATAGAATTTTACTTTCAACTTCATTGCCATCTATTTAAAGATATGTTGTAACGGCCTCTCTTTATTCTGACATACAGTTTGGTAAAACTGTCTGTTTTGAGATTAAGGAACTTTTTCCATGGCCCAGATGCATAAACTACTTGACAGATGTTGCATCCCTGCTTTAGCTTCCCAATCATTCTCTTAGATGGATTTACTGCTTTTCTATGCAAGAAGTGCTGGGTTTCAGTAAAGATGCCAATAATTTTATATGCAGTGACCTTGGCATGAAGTAACTTTTCCAAAATTGTTAAACAGCAGCTGTGTGAGACTTGTTATTTATCTTTATACACAATATGTTTACTATTTTTTTTCTTTCTTACTTTTTTTCCCCAATAGATACAACTTCAACAGTTTGGTTACCTTGAAGTGTTACATAAAGGAAAAACTGTAAGTTCTCATGATAATGAAGGATATTTAACTGATTAGAATTCTAACTGCAAGCAATTGCTGTAGAGAAATGCTAAGCTTTCACTGTATAATGGGCAGAATAATCATACAAGTCCCATTATGCTGTGCTCCTTACATCCTTGTATATGACCTTAGAGAATAGACATCAGGTCATAAGAAATGCTTTTTTATTTAAGGTTCTAACAGCTTTTGGATAAGAAAATCACAAATATTAATGTATGCTTTTGCAAAATATTCATTTAATATTTGGAAATAACCTTCTTAAGACAAAGTACATCTTGATATTGTTGTAAATACGCAGAAATGAAGAGTAAGACAGAAACTGTTGATTTTTTCTCAGAATACATACATTATGTTAAGCTTTATATGATCAATTTTAAGTGTTATCTCCATTAAATATACTCATTAAATATGAGTCAATGTGACATTTAAAAATAAATTTATACTACAAATATAATGGGAATGTAAAAATAAATTCCCTAAATTTTGACAAGGGCAAATTGATCATTTTCTTTTTAAAGACTATTTGATGTTGCTACAGGTTTCTGACTTTTGCAAATAGTCATTTTTCACAATTTTCAGGTTTTTTGTAATATAATTATAGGTATTCAGGTTTTGTAAATTTGAGAAAGCTTTTTAAAAAGTTTATAAAAACTCTTGCACAAAATGTGCCAAAATAGCATGGTTTTTCAGGAAATTTTGAGAACACATCACTCTCCAGAGGAAGGACAATGAGTTAGCACATACAGTCTAATCGTGTGAACTGGATATTAAAGAAGATAAATTACTGTTTCCTGGAAGAAGAGAATTATTTGTGTACAGAATGTTCTTAGCTGGATGAACACGGATAGTTTTTTATTCTATATGGTGTATGGGAATCCCAGCATGTGATATTGGTATAGTATCTTTCCCTGTTACTTACTTCTTTTGGTTCTACTTCCATTTGGTTATTCTCTCTCTCTCTGCTATCTGGTTTCATGTTCTATGGGTTTCATCATTAGTTTGATTTTGATGTAAAGTACAACTATGTAGGGGATATATGGGTTTATTATATCAGGCACACTTTGCTCTCTACCTGCACAATTTCCAAGCTTTGTGTTTTATAGATAACGCAGTAGACAACTTTATTTAATACCAATTATAGACAGTACCAACAGCCCAATTCTTTAAATCAGGATTTCGTCATAAAGGACTTATCAGAAGTTTATTTTGTACCCCTTACTAAATTTGTCAACATATTATAATGACATTTTTCAAATGTGCAGAAAAAAAGCCACATTCTATCCCTTAGTTTTAAGCATTAACATTTTATTTTATTTGTTTTATCATGTATCTAAATCTGTATCCATCTTTTGAGTTTTAATTTTGATACATTTGAAAGGTGCAGGCATTATTACAATTCACTCATGAAAATTTTAACATGCTTGAGTTGAATATTTTAAAATGGTTCCTTGGGTAAATGTACATAGAATGAAATTTAGAAATGCTAGTGTAGTAGTCATCATGTTTTGAGAAATGAATGAACTTGCAAACCAAACATCAATCAAGATGTAACTCATTGCCATCAATTGTTCTTATTCTATATCTTTAGATTTTAAGAAACAACCACTATTCTTAACATTGTTTTTTTTTTAACTTTTATTTAATGAATATGCATTTCCAAAGTACAGCTTATGGATTACAATGGCTTCCCCCCCATAACGTCCCTCCCACCCGCAACCCACCCCTTTCCCACTCCCTCTCCCCTTCCATTCACATCAAGATTCATTTTCAATTCTCTTTATATACAGAAGATCCGTTTAGCATACATTAAGTAAAGATTTACACAGTTTGCTCCCACACAGAAACATAAAGTGAAAAATACTGTTTGAGTACTAGTTATAGCAGTAAATCTCAATGTACAGCACACTAAGGACAAAGATCCTACATGAGGAGTAAGTGCACAGTGACTCCTGGTGTTGACTTAACAAATTGGCACTCTTGTTTATGGCATCAGTAATCACCCTAGGCTCCAGTCATGAGCTGCCAAAGCTCTGGAAGCCTTTTGAGTTCACGACTCTGATCATATTTAGACAAGGTCATAGTCAAAGTGGAAGTTCTCTCCTCCCTTCAGAGAAAGGTACCTCCTTCTTTGATGACCTGTTTTTTCCACTGGGATCTCACTTGCAGAGATCTTTCATTTAGGACTTAATCCCCCTTATGTTCTTTTTATTTTGTTCCTTTGCCACAGAGGCCTCGGCGGTTTTTTTTATTTTTTTTTTAACCTTTAATTAA